CCTCTTTTCTTGAGGCAATTTGAGGGGCCTCTGTTTTTATTAATAGCAAATCCTAATTAAAACCATCTTGAGTTTAGAGAAACATCAATTAACTTGATGTTTCACATGAGTTTAGTTCGACCCGCCCTTTTAGACTTCAGGGCCCCAAAGCGAGGCACACGTGTGTGTCTTCCAGGAGCCTGCCGTAATGCAGTGTAGGCTTCCATACACGTTCTAGAACGGCTTGCCATCCATGTCCACATACCTTTGCCTCATCATCATTATCGTCTTCTTCTTTGTAGCCAACTCTGGAAAATCAACCCAAAGCATCACTGCTGAACAAATGAGAAAGGAAATATACACTTCCTCGTCCAGGAAGCTGTCTCTATGCCACCTGAGCACAAATTTCTGGAACCTTCATAGTTGACATGCTGTGGACAGTGGGCACAGCGTGGACATTTCAGAACTGCTGCAGGCTGTCTCCAGGCCTCTCATTCAGCACCATCCCTCTGGGTAAATTGCTGGGTCTTAGATTCAGCCTCTTAAAAATGGGGTTAACATCTGGTTATGGTGAGAGGAAAATAATAAAAGTGAAGAACTATTGGCTGAACAAGACATGACAGACGCTTACTAGCAGCAAGTCCTCACTCTGCTTAACAAAATGCCCCATGTGCTCAGATCAGCTCAGTGAGGTGCACAGAGTGGATGGGGGGGCCAGCTGCTGGCCACTTGGGCCCCTGGCCTTCTTCCGCAGCGCCTTCGGATAGCTTTTGTCCCTTGTCCCTTGTCCTTTCTGTCTTCCAAGCTCCCAAGGGGAAGGCAAAGTTGGGGGAACAGGGGCAGGAGAGTCCACATACAGCTTTTTCATGGGTGTGTTTGTGCACACACAAGAATTGTTCAACACAGAAAGCCTTTCTTTAGGGTCTGACAAGACAGTGCCCTACTTTCCCCCCCATCTAGACATTGATTTTCTTCTTTTTTTTCTAAGATTTTATTTATTCATTTGAGAGAGAGAGAGAGAGAGAGAGCACACAAGCAGGGGCAGAGGGAGAAGCAGGCTTCCCGTGGAGCGGGGAGCCCGATGCAGGGCTCAATCCCAGGACCCTGGGATCATGACCTGAGCCGAAGGCAAACGCCCAACAACTGAGTCACCCAGGTGCCCCTAGACATTGATTTTCTGCCAAGAAAAGGAAAAAAAAAAAACCAGATGATAGAGATGGGTAGACGATAAATGAGAGAGAGACCCACAGCTGGCCCTCTCCAGGAAACATGAGCGCTTCCTTCCTGGGAAGGGTCCTTGTTTCTCACAATTCCCAGCAGGTGAGCAGAAAAGGCCCTTCTCCTCAAGGATTTGGCCCCGCTCAGTATGCCACTGGCTGTCTGCAGGGGGAGAGAGGCCCGCCTGAGTTTCTCTATTAAGTGCAATGACCTAGAGAGACTTCAGCTGTTCTCAAGGTCTTCGTATCCTGATATGAGGCAGCAGGGAGATCATCTGAGACCAGTGGCTGTCCCCCAAACTCTTCTGTTGGCTGGCACTTAAGGGACCTTGTATTCATTTTCTTCGGCTGTCCTAACAAAGTACCACAGACTGGGTGGCTTAAACAACAGCAATTTTTTTATCTTATGGTTCTGGAAGCTACAAGTCAGATAAAGGGGTTGTCGGCAGGGTTGGTTCCTGCTGAGGGCTGGGAGGGATAATCTCCCCCTTGCCCCTCCCCTAGCTTCTGTGCTTTGCTGGTGATCTTTGGCATCCTTGGCTTGTAGAAACATCACCCTGTCTCTGCTTTCACGTTCACTTGGTGTTCTCCCTGTGTGCCTGTCTGTCTCCAAATTTCCCCGTTTAGGACTTACCTTAATGACTTCTTTTTTACTTGATTCCCTCTGTAAAGACCCTATCTCCAAATAAGGCCACATTCTGAGAGAATGGGGTTTAGGACTTCAACGTGTGTGTGTGTGTGTGTGTGTCGGGATCACCATTTAACTTACACCAGGTCTCACCTCATCTGACCCAGCATGCGAGGTCTGCGCTCACCCCACCAGCCTTGAGTTTTATAACCAGTCACAATGACCTTCTCCCTTTGAGTCTTGACTTCTTGGACTCGGTTAGCCAGAGGCTGGGGAAACAGCCCGATTAAAGCCCCCACTGCTTGAAAAGCTCAGGGTAGGGAAGTTCCACTCAAGCGCCTCTAATAATTTCTGTGGTTTTTCCAAATTGGTGCACGTTCTCACCTTTGCCCACTTATCGTAACTCTTTAAACCTCTTTGAGAAGGATGGGAGGGAGCCTGGAAGGCTGGCCGCCTCCCTGGATTTTGTGTGACTCCCTGCAACAGGACTCCTGTCAGGCAGCCACTAAGGGAAGGTAGCTAGAGCTCAAGAACCTTTGGGCTGTGAGCTTGTCATTCATGGAGCTGGAGACACTGAGGTCAGGCCTAGCTCTGGTGTGGGAGTTAGGAGAGAGAGGGGGCAGAGGGGCAAGGGGAGGGCAAGGGGACCAGGGAGGGGATGAAGGGGGCCAGGAAAAGAGATTTGTTATTATCACAGGCTTTTCTATAAACTAGGTAATTTGTGGGTTGTGCAGATAAATGTTCTCTTCATTAGGCTGAAAAGAAGTTGTGCGTTGCCGTTGGGATTGTATTTGGCTTTGTGTAATAGAAAATCTGAAAATAATAGAGGCTTTATAAAAATTGACCTTTATTTCTCCCTTACGTCAAAGAAACCTGGAGATAGGCAAGCCAGGGCTGGTATGGCTGTCTTATGGTCTTCAGGGAACAAGGCTCCACTTAATACACTGTTCCCCCAACCTTAGCATGTCTCCTCATGGTTCCTGATGGTTGCTCGGCCACCAGCCATCACACCCAGATACCAGGTAGCAGAAAAAAGGCTTCTTAGAGACCCCATACATTGCTTCTGCCTACATCTCATTGGCCAGGTGGCCATGTAATCTTTTCTCTGGGTAGCTATGTACCCAGCAAAACCTGGGGATTGGTTATTAGGAAAAGAAGAAAGAATGTTGAGGGGCAAACAGTGGTCTCCACCACGACACTATATATGAAGGGGACACAGTTACTATCTAAATTCCCAAGTTCATCCTCGAAAAGAGAATGTTTCTGAAGCATAAATTCTTTGTCCTGGAGGATCTCATATCCCACTGGATGTGAACCATCCCTCGGGCCTCAGCTTCAGCCTCCATTCCCCCAGGAACCTTCTGGGTCCCTGAGCCTGAATAGCCTCCCCTGTCTTACGCTCTCATCGCACCTCATGCTTCTCCTTCAAAGC